TGATTGGTTAGCTGTCCCAGTGCGTTGTGATTGGCGAACAGCTTAGACAGCGTTTCATTACTGCCAAGCCCCTTGCTCCGTCTTTCAACAAAAACTTTTGGGCGAATCCGGCACTGTACTCCCTCGTGTTGTGGAAGCTGTCCTCAGTAAAATGCCCAGCACACAATAGCAATTTGGGGTTATAATGCTCAGGAACAGAGTTAAAAAAATAAACTGCAACCACTGTTTCCTGACATCATCCGCTTTCGGAAGCCCAAACAAAGACGTTTGGGCACGGAGGTGAAAAAAACAGCGTTTCAGGCGGTCGCACACCGGACGAGAAGCGCAGCGTCGCATCGCGCCATGTCTTTAAAATTCGAATACATTATTTTCTTGAGTGTAGGCACACCGGCGGCGTCTGTCCGCGGTGCCCAGCTATGTCGTGTTGTACTTGTAAGAATTGTTCTAGACATGCCGAAAATTTGACGCTACAGCACAGCAGCTCTTCTTCTTCGTTTTCACTGATGCACTAACTCTGCAGCAGCACTTCTTCTCCGTCGTCTCTCGGATGCAGTCACTCAACCAAGCGTTCTAACCACGACCTCGCCCCTCCCCACCCCCCAACCATTCCAATCTCTGTAGGCGGGAATTATTTTAATGATATTCCAATGAGCCGCTTTGTGACATCACAAAACCCGGAAAACAAACGCTGTAGTCCAAACGAGCCGTTCGATGTAGTTCTTGAAAAGGGATTTTTAAAAAAACGAAATATCTCCCTTTGGAGTGGACTTTGGGATTTGTAACTTTCTAGATCTTTTTTATGCCCAAACATACACACTACACACTGACTAAAATTTAAAAAGTGAAAAAGCATAATAGGACCCCTTTAAGTACAATTTTTTTTTTTTTTTTTAAGAATAAATAAATAAATACTTTTATTCATCAAGGCTGCATTAAATATATAAATGCAGCCTTGGGAAGCATAATAGACTTATTTTAAAATAATTTCAAAATCTTACCAACCCCAAACTTTTGAATGGAATTGAATGGTAATGAGATTTTCAGCAAATAATGATTTAATTTCTTTTTTAAATGACTTTTAGAACACTTTCAATATAGTGCATAAATTGCACAGATGACAATTATTTTTGTCATTTCTGGAGCTCAATTCGCTTTAATTGTATAGATCATTGTGTTTTGTTTTCCAGAAAAAAGATATATGTGTTTAGAATGACACAAGGCTGAGTAAATGATGACAGAATCTTGCGTTCCAGGGGAATATGCCTGTAATAAATGTACTGCAAGTCACTTAGGATAAAATTGCCAGTCAGATGACTAATGAGTAATCACTAAAGAAAACAAAGAAAAAGAGCTTAAACAGCCACAAACCTCTGAAAATACTCAAGTGTGTTATGATTGTGCAATGACTGTTTGTCTGACAGTGACTGAATTCAGAACATGTTTCATTTGACTGGGGTGTTTGAGCAGGTTTGTTAGCGCTCTGCAGTATATCACATACACTGAAGCAATTGTGATGAGCACCCCCCACCCACTCACTCTCTCTCAAACCAGTGCATGAACCCACGCTTCCCACCAACAGGCGCATTTCCGGTTTGACTGCTTGCTTCAGAGCGAGATGACAAAGAAGGGAGACCTGATGAATAAACAAACCACCTCAAACAGTCTCAGGAAAGAGGTTGAGTTCAATTTTAGGGACTCTTTACTAATGCTGTGAGCACGTCACAATGGAAAGAGCAGCAGAGAGTAACCGTCCTCGTCTTATTTTGAGTCAGTGCAGCCGTGAGTGACTGAGAAATCTGAGGTGATTCAGTGAGAAAAGGAGTTGTTACACTGATGTTCAGACTGACGTTTTAATTCAGTTTTAGTTCTGTCCAGTGACTAATTTGCCAAACTGACACTTAGGTTTGTAAGACTTGAATCGATCTGCTGACTGGCATTTGACAATGGTATAATTATGATACATATTCAACATTTCAGGGGGAAAAAATTCATAGCTATTTTATTAAATACTTAAACATTAAAAATATTTCATTAAAATAAAAAATATTTAATATTTCTTTGGAGTAAAACTAAAGGTGGGAATCATATTATACAGTATTATTCAGCAAAATAATTTAGAATGTTACAAAATATTTCTATTTCAAATGAACTTACTCTTCATCAAAGAATCCTGACACTGAAGACTGCAGTAATGATGCTGAAAATTCAGCTTTGCATCACAGGAATAAATTACATTTTAAAATATATTACAACAGAAAATTGTTCTTTGAAAGTGTAATAATATTTCACAATATTACTGCTTTTACTGTATTTTTGATCAAATAAATTCAGACTTGGTGAGCATAAGAGACTTCAAAAACAGAAAACATTTAAATGACTGCAAATGTTTGAAAAGTACTGTGTAGCTGATTAAGGTCCTTTATATTTTTATTTTCAAAATTTAATTTATTTAAATGTATTTATTTATTTATTTGCATGTTGTAATATTGAATACAGCTTTTTTTTTTAATTGATAAAAATATAATTTTTTTCTTTTTGTGAAATATGTGAAACATCCTTAAAAAGTCAGAAATAAATAAAAGAACTAAAGCCCTTCTGAATAACCCTTTTTTTTCTGTAATTTGTCAACTAAAAAAATAATACATGTAATGAGGGTAATTTTGTTAATCGGTTTCATATACAATCCCTAATCTCAAAACACAGCAAAATATACAGTATATATCTCAAAATATTTTTTTCTGCACTGCAGGAAAGACAGATAACTGTTTTGTACCTGTTATTCAAATTGGGATAAATAGTCCTGCTATTATCTTACAACACCGGCCTAATCGTATTTATGCAGATGAAAAATAGCAGCATTATATAGTGCATCCCTAGTTGCCGTGGTGTTTTACGCGCTAATGGTGGAACAACATGATCGACCTGCCGGTTATCAGACAGAAAACATTGTAGTAATGGCGCATTAGAGCAAAGTACGCAGCAGAGGAGATGAACAGATAGCATGAGTGACAGTGATGTGAAATGAAAGCGATTGAATCGGGGGAAGAGGTGTGGGGGGGGGGGGGGGGGGGGGGGGGGGGGGGGGGTGGTTGAGTGGGTGAGAGATGGAGAGAGTAAAAGAGAGAGAGAGATGAGACGCACAGCAGGGGCTCTTATATGTTTTGCTCAGACTAGTTTCAGCACACTAATAATGAATGGCTAATAAAAAGAGAGAACGCTCTCATACAGGAGCGAATGAGAGCTGAACATCAGGCATACCTGTATGATTGTCTCTCTGAAGAAAACCCAGTCGACACGCTCTGGGGATGTTTGGAATGCCATACACGTATGATAATGTACCTGGTTACCTCAGTTTTTACTGAAATACTACAGTTACAACTATTGTTACCACAGTCAAACTCTGCTAATCTGGCATACACAAGTTTTTGCTTTGAAAGTCCCATACTCACCAGCGATGCATCTATTTGATCAAAAATAAATGTTAAAACTGTATTCTTGTGAAATTTTATTACAATTTAAAATAACTGGTTTCTATTTGAATATATTGTAAAATGTAATTTATTCCTGTGATGTAAAGCTGAAATTTCAGCATCATTACTCCAGTCTTCAGTGTCACATGATCCTCCAGAAATCAGTATAATATGCTGCTCAAGAAACATTTATGACAATTATCAAAAATGTATCAAAAACAGTAAAATTTTTCAGGATTCTTTAATGAATAGAAAGTTTAAAAGAACATCATTTATTTCAAATATAAATAGTCTGTAACATTATAAATGTCTTTACTGTGACTTTTGATAATATTAATGTGCCCTAAAAGGACATTCATAAATCCATTTCCTTAAAAAAAAATGTTACTGACCCCAAACTTGTATTATTATCCAACAAGACAAATTCAGGTTTACTGTCATTTTTATACACAGCAGTGCAATGTCCAAAACTGAAATTTAGTGAACACTTAACAATCTTCAATGTATTGAACAAACTGGAAGCATTATTGACAAATATTTTTAACATCTGTTTATGACTAATTAGAAAACTAATGTCCTCAGAAAGATTAAAACAGAAAAAATATAAAACATTTTAATATACAAATATATTAAATGAATAATATAAACATTACCAGAAACTATATAGTCATAGAATAACATTCTAATATATGAATAAACATAAATATAATATCATATTAACTTATTAGCATTATATAAAAACAAACAAAGGCTAATATATTTTTGTCACATGTATCCATAATTAACAGTTTTGTGCCAAGAATTTCCATTCAACAAACCATATGTGTTTTAATATTTAATATTTGCAGCTATGCTAAATTATGTCTCTATTTTTATTTGTTTCTGTTTTTAGCTGTTAATAGTGTTCATCGTCTGTTTGATTACGTCTTAAATTGATTTTTCCGTACATTTCTGCCATATGTACATTAACTGACAGTCAACACTGATAAGCTACAACTAAATATATTGTAGAAACTTAATTTTCTGTAAAGTTTTTGTATCGTGAAAAGCGCTGTACAAATAAACTTGAATTGAATTGAATATTTGAATGTTTAGTTTGCATACGACAGAGTTGTGCAAGCCATTTTTTAATAGTAGTTAGTATTTTGTGTGTAGTCGGTATGCAGTAACTATTCTTTACCAAACACAGTCTCTGTTTCTCTCTTTGTGCAGCTCAACAGAAGTTTTCATTATTTGAACAGTGAGAGGGAAGGAGCGATACTAGCAAAAGGTGCATAATTAGTGCTTCTCATAAATGGCACAGAAAAGACAGAGTGTGCGTGTGGGAGGGATGGGCGAGAGAAACCTAAAACGAGAGAGAAAGGGGTAGCAGAGGGGGCAGCACCACAGCCAAATGTGAACACATCCAGTGCGTCTACTGTGTTTCCAACAGAGTGAGCAGAGGAGAGAATATTGGATTTGCATTCCAGAGGGAAAAGCAGCCGGTGTTATTTCCTGCTGTGAGACAGAGAGAGTCTCTGTGTGTCCTACCTGTCTTTGTGCTGACGTCGCCATCTGAATCTGGCAGAACTTAACAGCTTGATCCAATGCTACGTCCTCATCCACCTACAGAGAGACAGAAAGTATGAGAAATAACATTCATAGAGTTAGATATCCTAATCAGACACAACAGTACAAAAACAGCCTCTTGAGCTGACTTGGTTATCATCACATATTAGGTGTTTTAATGCTGTTTCATGTCATGTTTACACTCATTTAGACCAGAACAACCATTCACACAATAATTCGGAAACTCTGAATCGTATAAAAGGCCTAGTGTCTCCTCCTCGGCTGTTTTTGTGTCATGTAAAAGCAGTTGCAAACAGTCAATTTCTGTCATTCGATTAGTCAGTGTTCACTTTGAACTTAATTTGTTCTTCATGACTTTGCAAAAGAATAAATTAGTGAATTAATGTACAGATTAGATCCTCTACTGTAGGGCTGGGTGGTATATATCGAGTATATATCAACATATTTTTTATAAGGGATATAGTATGATGCTATACTGCCTCGACATACAGTAGTTTGATACGAGAGCATCTGAATAATAGCAGAGGATGCAGAGTGCGCTGCTGCGGGGAAGTGCATAATCCAATTTGTCCTAAACATGAGACATGCTTATATTAAGGGATTTAAAATAACTGGTAAGATATAGTTAACACGTATAGTTTAAAGAGGCTCACACCGTCAGCTGCTCTGACAGACTCATGTGCTGCTGACAGAGAGGCTACTTGTGCTGTTTAATGCGTTTGAGATGTGCTGTTTTCCTCAGTGCATAACTTATATTCCATCCAAGTCTAAGTTGTGGAAATATTTCCATTTTGCTGTCAGGAGTGTACGAGCCTACTGTATGCGATTCTCCACTAAACTTCACAGCTTTCAGTGAACGAGTGCCACCTAAAATATACATTTTACTAAAATATTTGGAGTTGGACAATAAATGTGCCATGTGTAGAATTTTAAACCCAAAAGTAGGCTAAGTGTGTTTTATGATAGCAGTAACTGTAAAGTGACTATTGTAATGGGGTAATCAAAATACAATGCAATTAACCTGTGCTTTTGTTTTTATTTCTATTCATTTTTAGTTTAGTGAACTTAACTTCTGCTTTAAATAGCATTGTTTTTGTTTTTAGATTATAATGTTACAATGTTAGAATGTAATGTGATTTTAGCCCGTTTTGCACATAATATACAGCATAGAATACATGGTTACTTTCACTAAATTTGTTTTCATTGCTTTTAAACATTGTTTCATTGGACAACATGGTGCAGGATGTTAAAAAAAAAAAAAAAAAAAAAAAGGTAAATAAATATATATATTTTTTAATCCAAATAGAAAAATGTAGAATATCTATCGCCCAGCCCTTCTCTACTGTCATATAAACACCAAAGGTGCACATGGATGACGAATGCTAAACTGACAAACTATCATTTTTGGGTGAACAACCCAACTTAACTCTTCTTTAATCTTATTAAAACTAGCCAATACTAATACTTGGTACCTAAAGCGCTAGAAAAAAGAGCCTGACTTTACAAAAAGCATTAATGAACATCTCATTGAATTCTGAAGGCAAACATGAAGTCTACTCCAGAAAACAACCCCCAGAAACAGTCCCATAAGCCAGTGTGCGTGCGAAAGCCATGCAACCTGCCAGAAAAGCTCTCAGAAATCAGTTGATGATGATTTCTGGAAGAAGAGACCCACGCTAATGAAGGACCTTAATCAGATCATCTACAAATATGGAATAAAAAGCAGTGTACATACACGTACACAAACACAGGCAGAGGTCCCGAGAGGACGCAGTAGGAACAAAGAATCGCTACCAGCGCTATGATATGCCAAAATGTGCAGATGGTGTTATGAAGTCCTGAAAATGAACAAGCCACAACAAAGTTTTATCTGTACAAAACACCAAGAACTTACACAAATAAATAAAACAAGCTAGTTTAAAGCAGTATAAACAAAACCAACCATCATTTTGCTTCAGAAACACACAAGTCATATGTACCATTTTTGTTTTTTTTCCTCATTTTGGACCCAGACCTAGTCACTTTCATGGAAACCGGCAGCCAGGATTTTTTATTTTTTTTTTGTATTTCTTATTATGTCTTCCACGGAGTCATACAAGTTTAGAACATGACTGAGTAGATGATGACAAGAAGTTTCATTTTCTGGTGAACTAGCCCTTTAAAATATGGCCGATTAGACAAGTTCTGACGTTCTTATTGATTTTTTTAGATCCTCTCAAATTTGACACACAGAGGCTGACGGGTTATAGAACAAAATGACCTAAATAGACCTCTACTGGAGTGCTTGTGGTCATGGCAACCGGAGGAGCCGGCTGAGATTGGGCATCCCTGGTGTCTGTTTTATGTCAGATAGTTAGAGTATGGTGCTCTCTTTTTTCAAAGTGTGTGGGAGAGAGAAAGAAAAGAGAGAGAGATGACAACGCCTTTGCTAATGCTAAACGTTAATACACATACATACAGTATATATAGATATATACATATACATACATATATATATATAATGAAATTCCTCTGACTAAAGTATCAGGAAGCTATACTGAAGTGGTTGTAGCTGCCTCTAACCCTGTTTGCATTTAGCATGCATGCTAATGCTAACGGTGATCCACTTTAAGTCGTCCTAAACTTAATCTATCAGTGCGTAGAGTTCATAGGCGCAGTTTTCTACTGGTGTGCATGTGTGAGTTAAATGTTAGGACTGGTTCCTCCAGTTGGTGTGGTGTGAGATTTCAGACGTATGACTCAAAACACTGCGCAACAACCTCGACACCGCACACCACTCAGATGCACAAAACAACACTCCCAGCACCAGCACACAGTTTGAGCTGTTAAAAACAACAACCACTGATGAAGAACCCTGATGAGTTCACTGCATAAACACCATTACTAGTCAAATGTTTGGACACATACATACATTTTTCATTATTTACACATTTCAGAATAATTAAAAACAATAATTAATCATAAGTAAGCACAATTTCTATATGTAGACAAAGGATGTTAAAAAAAAAAAAAAAAAAAAAAAAGGTAAATAAATATATATATTTTTTAATCCAAATAGAAAAATGTAGAATATCTATCGCCCAGCCCTTCTCTACTGTCATATAAACACCAAAGGTGCACATGGATGACGATGACTAAACTGACAAACTATCATTTTTGGGTGAACAACCCAACTTAACTCTTCTTTAATCTTATTAAAACTAGCCAATACTAATACTTGGTACCTAAAGCGCTAGAAAAAAGAGCCTGACTTTACAAAAAGCATTAATGAACATCTCATTGAATTCTGAAGGCAAACATGAAGTCTACTCCAGAAAACAACCCCCAGAAACAGTCCCATAAGCCAGTGTGCGTGCGAAAGCCATGCAACCTGCCAGAAAAGCTCTCAGAAATCAGTTGATGATGATTTCTGGAAGAAGAGACCCACGCTAATGAAGGACCTTAATCAGATCATCTACAAATATGGAATAAAAAGCAGTGTACATACACGTACACAAACACAGGCAGAGGTCCCGAGAGGACGCAGTAGGAACAAAGAATCGCTACCAGCGCTATGATATGCCAAAATGTGCAGATGGTGTTATGAAGTCCTGAAAATGAACAAGCCACAACAAAGTTTTATCTGTACAAAACACCAAGAACTTACACAAATAAATAAAACAAGCTAGTTTAAAGCAGTATAAACAAAACCAACCATCATTTTGCTTCAGAAACACACAAGTCATATGTACCATTTTTGTTTTTTTTCCTCATTTTGGACCCAGACCTAGTCACTTTCATGGAAACCGGCAGCCAGGATTTTTTATTTTTTTTTTGTATTTCTTATTATGTCTTCCACGGAGTCATACAAGTTTAGAACATGACTGAGTAGATGATGACAAGAAGTTTCATTTTCTGGTGAACTAGCCCTTTAAAATATGGCCGATTAGACAAGTTCTGACGTTCTTATTGATTTTTTTAGATCCTCTCAAATTTGACACACAGAGGCTGACGGGTTATAGAACAAAATGACCTAAATAGACCTCTACTGGAGTGCTTGTGGTCATGGCAACCGGAGGAGCCGGCTGAGATTGGGCATCCCTGGTGTCTGTTTTATGTCAGATAGTTAGAGTATGGTGCTCTCTTTTTTCAAAGTGTGTGGGAGAGAGAAAGAAAAGAGAGAGAGATGACAACGCCTTTGCTAATGCTAAACGTTAATACACATACATACAGTATATATAGATATATACATATACATACATATATATATATAATGAAATTCCTCTGACTAAAGTATCAGGAAGCTATACTGAAGTGGTTGTAGCTGCCTCTAACCCTGTTTGCATTTAGCATGCATGCTAATGCTAACGGTGATCCACTTTAAGTCGTCCTAAACTTAATCTATCAGTGCGTAGAGTTCATAGGCGCAGTTTTCTACTGGTGTGCATGTGTGAGTTAAATGTTAGGACTGGTTCCTCCAGTTGGTGTGGTGTGAGATTTCAGACGTATGACTCAAAACACTGCGCAACAACCTCGACACCGCACACCACTCAGATGCACAAAACAACACTCCCAGCACCAGCACACAGTTTGAGCTGTTAAAAACAACAACCACTGATGAAGAACCCTGATGAGTTCACTGCATAAACACCATTACTAGTCAAATGTTTGGACACATACATACATTTTTCATTATTTACACATTTCAGAATAATTAAAAACAATAATTAATCATAAGTAAGCACAATTTCTATATGTAGACAACTTGCGTATATGTCAACAAAAAGTAAAGTTCATACATTCATAGAATCATGATACAAAGTTAGTGGTGTGTCCAAACATTTGAGTATGTAGTAAAACTTCATATTGTCATAACTGCATCTTAATACCACAGACCTCGTAAGGGATGGTCACATTTATCACGGTTTGAGAAATTTTTGTAGGTAAAATCCAGTCATTTCATTGGCCCCTTTCCACATTTTAAGGGTTCTTAGAAGCAAAAGTCATCATAGTCAGTTAAACTTCTATAGTGGTGAACGGAAACTACAACAAATATA